ACAGAGAGTCAGGACCTCGGTTTTACGTCTCATCCGAAGGACAGTGCCTCTTTTACAGTATGGTGTCCCCGTCACTATACTGGGGCATTAGGACCCACACAGACTGCAGGGAGAGCGCCCCCCCCTGGCCCCACGAGCACCTCTTCCAGCAGCAACCTTAGCTCCTCCCAGGAGGTCTCCCATCCAGATACTGACCAGGCTCACACCTGCTGAGCTGCAGGGTGACATGGCTGCTGGCTGACTTTAAGATACAAACTTCTACCGTGAAAACTTTCAATCCCAAAGTGTGGGAACCTCTCCTTCAGCTTTTTCCTTTGGTCAGGTGGGAAATGCCAGGATGCCATACAGCAGCACTGCCACCCTCAGGCTGATCTCCAGAGCTGGGCCTCCCCAGTGAGGAGCTGGCAGGCTTCTCGGGGGGAGGGAGGGTCACTTCTGCAAGCGGTGTTGGCCGACCAGCAGGTGGCGCACTTTCCTCTCGACCGGAATCTCCCATCCGGGGCCCAGTCTGGTGACCTGGAGCGATGTTCAGGAGCAGGTGTCCTCTTCCAGCTGGGATGTGAAATCGAGGTGCTTGGTTTAGCCAATGACTGGGTGTGGCTCACAAGAGCAGGACGGAAGAGAACCCACACCGGCGCTCCAGAGACAGATCAATCTAGCCTCCCTAGATGTCCTCCTTAACTCACTGAGTGCAGTCGTTTCTCACCTGTCCAGCAGATGCAGAGTGGCTGCTGTGTGCTGCCCATATGTTCGTGGTGAAATGCTCTAGAAAAATGCATGTAGTTGTTGGTATTATTGTATAGAATTAAAGAATTATCTGTGGATTATTTACAAAACAAAAAAGTGTACCGGGAGAGTACACTACGATTAGAACAACTTTTGTAATGAATCTGTGCTGAGAGGACATGAGAGGGCTGACTCTCCCAGCGTGTCATCATCGGCCTGCTTCTCCAAAAACCACGGCTCAACCTGTCCGATCCAGCTGCCGCTGGTGAACAAAGACGTATTACTGCATCTTCAGACAACCCTCTCAGAGCGAACTCTGGGGGGAAAAGTTTCCAACACTGAATCTGTAACTGCAGGAGACAGATAAATATAAATCACAAAGCAACAGGCTATATACGTTCATGGTCACATCACTACATCAGCACTGTTTGTTATATTAAAAAATATATTTTTACTGGTTAAATTAAGAATGCAATATATTACCCTTTCCCCTTTAAGAAAAAAAAAACACGTCAGTTGGAAATTATTTATTTGGCCACTTCACAAAACTTGTTTATTTCAAACATTTCTCAACTATTACATGACCGTCTCTAGTATAACAGCTCATGAAAGAGTTAATTAAAGTGCATCACAGAAACACTATATTGATTGTACAGCATGTCTAAAGGATCTGAAAAGGATTTTGACACTATAAATGAATTTGAATAAGACAGGAAATGGTGGTGTGCTCTCATTCCAAAACAGCATTACGACATGCAAAGATGGGTTTTCCAAATTGAATACCTGACATTTATTTACTAAAGAGAGTATCAGCTGGACGATGAAGCCAATTACTTCACTGTCATTCACAAATTCACTGTCTTTTATGAATCTTGCATACAGAGATGAATGACGTCATCTAAAAGATAGCTACTGGCATTCTTCTGAAATGGAGTTACATATCCATTACCTTGGAGCTCCACAGTGTTGCTATGGTGACGAATAACATTCCAAACAATTTTACCAGGGATTCTGGTTACAATCAGCAGAATGTATCCTAATGGACACCACTGGCTTATCGAACCCAAAGCCACGAGTTTCCCACACAACATTACCAACATAAAGTTGCCAACATTACAGTCAGCTGAGCAACCCTTTAATAGTAACAGTTTAAAAGCTTTTCAAGGATATTCAGCATATAAAAACGCATCCTACTTCAACGGAAGAGTTGCTGTCTTTTCAATGAATAGCTAGCATATGTCAATGTGCAGTAACACACTTTGGTGCATGCCTCAGGAATAAGCTGTAGCTTTTCCAGTTTGGGTTTACTAAAGAAGTTGTGTGTTTTTAATAAAAATGCAAACACACCTAAAGCACAGACAGATCTTTCTCACCCCCTTCTCCCACAAGTCCACCCCTGCCAGCCTCCTGATGACTTTCGGGCCTGTCCAGAGCAATCAAGCCCCCCAGCAGTGCATAACAGGACAACATCTTCCCATTACTGTTTGCTTTTCAATTACACAAAGACTTTGCAAATTACTGCTTATCTTGACAAGTGGCCTATTCAACAGCTTGCACTGTGTTTACACATGAGATCAGAATTCATGGCTTTCAATGTCCCTTTAAGTGCCGCACTGCGCTATAAATTCAAACTCTCTCTCTGGGCACCTGAGTTGAGCAGCCTTTCGAAACAAAACACTGAACCTGGGAATGAAATATAACCTAGAGAAGATAAAGCTTGTTCTTGAACACATCTCTGCTGCCACATTGTTCCAACATTCCAGTGCAGTGAATGTCTTTTGTCATAAAGTCTTTGCCTTGGTGCTGTTACAGGCATTCAAAATATCACAGTATAGCTGTTGAGAATCACAGTGTTAGGAATGAGTCGATCACTGACATCCAATAAGAAAGATTAATGCACACACAAAAAGAGAATAAAACAACAACAATAATAATAAGCTGTAAAGCTGTATGAATATCTACACTACTCCTGGACACATTACTCTTTCAACGACACTCTGTCATTGTTGCCAATGGATCACAAGGTATCGTGAGGCTTGTAGGGGTATCAGATACACCTGTGGGGAGGACTCTACCCTCAGGGCTCCACTGTGCGAAAATCAGGCTCCATTCAAATACCCAGACAGAGCAATCAGACAGTCACAGCCTCAAGTCCATGCATGGCTCTGTGCGAGGGCATGCGGCTGATATCATCTGGGAAACACTTTCAGGAATGCAGTTTTCCCTCTGAAACTCATAGACACAGTAAGGCTATTCCCCGGATTGATTCAGCTTACATGGTAAAGAAAAACACAAACAAAAAGTCTCCTGGAATCTGTTTCCCATCACCCACGCTACGCGTGCAAAATGCCAACAGAGCCTCAGGCAAGACCAGCTGTGGCAGTGCAGAGACATAGATGATATCACCTAGCTCTTTCTTCTGTCTTACAAATATTACTTACGGATCTGCAGACAGGAAGCAAAGCATCTATTACTTCCTGCACGGAATGTGATAAAATATTTTTTTTCCATATGGAAGTTTCAAACTTCCCATCACGAAAATGTAATTGTAATTGCAATTAACTAAAAAAATAATTGGCGAAATTAGAAGTACTCTCTGGTTGAATATTCTGTTTTAGATATAAACCATGCTGCTTTTAAATCAAAAAGTCATTTTTTTCACATCAAAACAGGTTATAAAATCATATCAAATTGCAAAGTGTTGACATGAAGGATCTGCTGGTGAGAAAAACAGAAGTTAAATGTTTGTTGTTGGAAAATAGATGTGTCTTGAATTCGATAGTCGGTAGAAGTTAAAACAGCAGGTCACAAGGGGAAAAACAAGTCTCCTCAAATTCCAGGGTGATGCATGTGAACCAGCAGCAGTTTTGGAATGTTGCTCTGTTCTTGGTGAAACGTGACTGGGATCAAAGGTGAAACAAACTGGAACACAAGGGACTGGACTGGGAGCCTGGGGCTGATGACACAGGGAACGCCAGTGCGCCGATGAGGTGGGATCATCTGTCTGATGAAGGGTAGGTCCCTACAGTCCACTGCCTATTCTCAGGCTAATTGAACCTATCCAATGATTACAGTATTTCCTTGGACAGACCTATTCATAACCCATTTCAGAATTTAACAGAGTAATTGGGCCTAGAATTGGCATTAACGCTGTACAAGGAACTGATTATCAGAACACTCCCCCTTCTCAATTAAACCCATGCATAATTAATGCTTAATAGGAATGCTTATTACTGGAGTGTGTCACACAACCTAATTTCCAGCTTTGTCTGTGTCCACATTATTGGCAACCGAGCAGTTCAGACACATACAGGTGAGCAGCAGTTAATTAAAGACGCCGAAGACAAGCCGCCCTCAGTTCTGTTGGCTAAATATCTTGGCCGAAATACTACAATGGCAGAGAAGATCTGAAGCAAAGAACTGGGGAGAAGATCCTTATTTAGAAAACACTACTCTTATGTATTAATTAAAACAACGTGGGCAAACTGTAGTGGAAGGTCTGTCCTTGCATAAGGTTGCCAAAAGGTTACCAGGGTGGGTACCCTTCTGTGCCTTTACCTATCTTGAGAACAGAAGAAGAGTTACAAACCAGAGGAGGCCATTAATCCTCTCCAGTTTGTTTGGTAATTAGTAGCTAGTTGATCCCAGGTTCCGTCCAGCTCTTTCTTGAAAGAAATCCGGGCGTTAACTTCAGGAACATGGCTGGGTAGCTTGTCCCACGCTCCCGTGAAGCTTTGTGTAAGGGTGCCTTCTGCTCTGTTTTAAATGTGCTTCTCCCGAGTTTCCACTTGTGCCCCCTGGTTGGTATTTCACTGCTGATCCTGGAGAGGTCCCCTGGGTTCACTTTCTCAGTGGCTTTGAGGTTTTTGAACACTCTGTCCCCTCAGATCTCTCCCTTTCTGGACTCCTCTCAGCAGTCAGCGTTGAATATCCTAATGGCATAAAAACAGCAGCAGTTGTAGAGTTTTGGGCTCAGAAGGCCACTTTCTGGATACAGCAGACTGCCAGGAGGAGACTGCGGTTGGCGGCCCGATTAGGAATCCAAATTGAGAAACTCCAAATTGCCCCATAGCACGGTCCAGAGCTGGGCTGCCAATGTGGCTTGTGGCTAAATTTCAAGGGTCCATTTTTCAACATCTGTCACACTTCTGACCCTTCAGTGGTTCACCAAACAATAAGAAACCAGCCCTTCAGTTCTCAGGTCATTATTGCCAGTCTCCGAATTGTCAAGTCCTATTTAAGAGACAAACAGTGCATCTGCCTATAATTGCTCCTGCCAAGGCAAGCATATTTTTTATGGTACAGTAAGGATTTAAAAAATGCCAGAGACCAATACAGCATCTTTAAAGTAAGGCAGAAGCTTAAATCCTGGTTTTAATGGGAGCATACGCAGTATCAGAGGAATTAGAGATTAGTGTCATTTTTACAATCTACCAGCTTGCCTTTTCACTGTTTCAACCATACCCTGTGGAAAATAATGCACATTTGCTTTTTTTACCTTAATCATAACGTGAAATTCTTGATAAATACCCTACATCTATGCTATGCTTTACTGAGGATTGTGTGTAAAGGCATGGCGTGGCTGGTGTCAGTTCAGTCTGAGAGCCCTGCAGCAGCACATTGACTCAGAGAATTAACACTATGTGCCTCTGCGGGAAATGCTGGCATTTCTCGAATGGCTGATTGCATACACACAGGGAACTCTTAAACATGTGCTCTAAAGCTTACTCACACAGTGCTTGAGGCTGCTCTGCTTGACTGATTTGCTGTGGTCTGTCTTTGGCTGCGGGTTGGTACTGCTCCTTGCCTGTAGTTTACTGAATGCACACCATCTATGATGGAGCACAGCTGTTGAGGGAAATCTGGATTAAAGACTGATGTCATCTCATAATAGTGCAGGGTCAGACATCTGATGATCTTTATATTTCTGACTCTCTTATTCAAAAAAGGTATCGGGGCAGTATCTGAGACCCCTCTTTAGCAGACAGGCCCCAGTTGTCCCTATGGGTAAATTGTCAGTTTTCCTTTACTACAGAATGAGCAGTTTGCCCACGGTTGCCCACTGTTGCCCACAGGGAAGAGGGTGCTGGTGGGCGCCTCTGGCTTCAGGTTATAGCCTTGTCAGGGAGCAGCAGGTTGTTCAGCTTGATGACGGTCGTGGCAAAATCCACCAGCTCCACAAAGTCCGAGGTGATGATGTTGACTCCGTTGGCCCCAGGCTTCTGGGCCTTCACCCAGCTCATGATGGTGGGGAGGTTCCTGAAACAGACACGGACAGAGGCAGTCATCAGCATGGACAGAAGTCCTTCAGTTGTCTTCTTGTCCTTGAGAAAGATATAATCCAGTATGAACATGACCTGGTGCAAAACCAAGCAGTGTCAGGTAGCTTGGCCACAGGTCTTATACAGGCCTGGCATAGATGTTCATGCAGATGATTGATATTTAGAGCACCTGTTGTGGGAAAAGTGGATTTTCGACTCTATTTTAATTTTAGCAGGGCTCTGAGTAAGCTTGTTATTACTTGAGCAATTACAAGTAGAGTAATTTAGACTGTGAAGTGTTGTGCACTAGCTACAGCACAGCACAGCACAGTACTCGGGGGGAAGAACAAAATGTGTATGAGCCAATTTAAAAATCTGCAGTTTATACTGAATATCAGCTACACTCCCCAGTCGCAATCACAAAGGAGGCTTTGTTAAATAATTAACAGGGATAATTACAGGGATTGTCTTTGACCATTTACAAAAACAACTCGCACTTGGGTGTTCAATCTCTTTTGTGTACGGCAGGCCATCATTTACATATTCATGAGACTGGCAAAGTCTGAAAGACAATAGGAGGAAATTGGATGACTCGAAGAAAGTTTCTTTTGGGATAATAAACAATCCTGTTCCGATTCATTGACCCTGGCGTCCTCTGGGTCGGTAAATTGAATTACTTCCTCGGAGACTAGTGTCTGTTCAAGATTTCCTGTGAGTTCACCCTGGCTTAACTTGGTCAAGTTTTCCGTCAAAGAAGGCAGACCTGGTATTTTCCTGGTAATCTTGGAGCACAGTGTTTCTCTCAGACGTTTCAGAGCACCGGATCAAAGTCCTGCAATCTGTGAGGATTAAATAAATCTGTACAACACTGATAAGGGCGTTTCCCTGCCAGCATCTGACCTGCCTGGCATTTTTGGTGCTGTATGATTTTATGAACAGGGGTTTAGGAATTCAGAAACATTGTAGTGGGTTTACCGGCCATGAAAACAAAGAAGCAGCCACTATAAAAATACCCCCAGGCCACTGAAACACAGTTAGAAAGTAAGAAATAAAATCATTGCCTGACTCAGGGCCAGTGAAATATTGTGTTGCTTCTGTCTTTACCAAGAACAGAGTTCTTTGTGTCTCAATTTTATCTTTAGGGAATGAAAACAGTCCTTTATTTCCCTTTGCTTATCTGCTGTTGCCCTTGTGCAAAGCAGGGGTCTAGGAGCGATATGTGCTTTGTGGGAAGGTAATACAGTGTGGAGATGTGTGGGTGTTTCACAACACGAGAGACAGCTATCGTAGGAAAAAGGTTGAATTCAGTTTGATTTACTGTCTTAATCTGTGTTACATGTGTCTCTGTTGTTGTGATCTTTGCCTTGTTTTATCATAAATAACATCGAGCTGGTGAGTCATGAAGGGTAGTATCCATTTCCTAAAGTCTTTACCCAGCTCAGGGCTGAGGGGGAGTCAGACCGTATCCTGGCAAGCAGTGGGCGCAAGGCAGGGTACAGAATGGACAGGGCGTCAGTATGGGGCAGAGCAGACACACAGACACTCACACCAGGGCCAGTTCTCCCAGAAGCCCAAACCTGCTGGCATGTCCTTGGATGGTGGAAGGAACCCGGAGCACCACGAGGAAAACCACACAGACAAGGGGAGAACACACAAACCCCACGCAGACAGCACCCCTGGGATTGAACCCGGGGGCCCCAGGTCAACTACTGTGCCACCCATGAAGGGCAGCAAATAAAGTAAACTTCTTATAATTATAATGAATGAAAATCCACAATTATGCTTAGTAATTAATCAATGGTATTTGATTGTAGCTCAGCAGCGGAACGTGTCATTGTAAATGGTATTTAAGGTTTGGTTATGAGTAAATAGAGCAATGACGAAGGTGAGTGTGTGTTATTTCTCGACCTTTTTAATAGATTTAGACCGCTGCTGTTAGAGACACTGCGGCCTGCGTCGCCAAAACCCAGCTTCCCTGCTCTATACCGCCATCTGCTGGCGGATATGTTTATTACCGCCATGCTATTTAATTTAAACGTTTTTTATGACAGCGCTGTTATACAGTATACAGTGCCCTGTGATAATACAGTATAGTAATACAAACTGTGCTGTGTCCCTGTGCATCTATTGCTACCTGTGTGATGCATCTATTTTAAACGGACACTATTTTCAGATATTTTTAAACTAGGCAGAAACGAAAGGTAGACTCGCCGTGCTCTCGGGGGCGAGACCGAAAGTCAGGACCACATGACCAAACAGAGCCAGCGGAGGAGTGGAAGAGACAGGAGGGGCAACGAAAGCAGGGACAGGGGCAGGAGCAGGGAAAAGAACGAGAGGCGGAGAACGGGCCGGGGGGTGGGGGGGAGTCTTGAAGAGTCAGACCTCTCCACCAGGTGGGTGCGCAGCCCCTTGATGAGCCCGCGGACGATGGTCTTCACGCGGGGGGTCAGGATGGCCTGGGACACGTGGAAGGCGCCGTGCTTGGCCCTCTCCCCCAGCGTGGTCTCCAGGAACTCGATCAGCTTGTAGGCGTCCGTGGTGTTGGCCCAGGGGGCGGGGATTTTACTGCCCGGCCACAGGTAGGAGCAGCCCCCGGCCGAGGGGTGGTGGTAGAACACCAGGACCTGCGGGGCAGCAGAAACAGAGGGCAGCAGCCACTCAAGCAGGAGCCTACAGAAGTCTGAAAGGTGAAGAAAGTGCGCGTGTTTGCATGCAGAAATTCATGCCCAAAATGTGTAAAAAACATCGAGCACGAGGCCTACAGCGCATGTCAGCTTGGCACGACAATTAGAGACATGCAGCGTTATCGAAGTAGTTCAAGTAGGTAGAAGAAGAAGGCTCCACAGCCAAACGTTGTGTTTCTGTTCTTGTCTTCTCAGCATGGAATAAACCTTCACTTGTTCCTTTGCAGTATTATCGAAGTCAAGTGCACCTATAGAAGTTTTCCATTGTTGACACTATCTCACAGCTTTAGGTTATTTCTGAGCCTCAGAAAATTACCCATTAATGGCGTCCTCAAAATTTTACAACCCCAGGTTTGCAGGACGTTTGCATTTGAACACCGGCCTTACTGTCTAATCTCTTACTGTCAGCGTCCCTTTGACGAATCATTAAACCTGCCATGCCTCTGTTTGCTCCAGCAGGCTTTCACTGTCATTCCAACAGGCGTTACTGCATGTTACTCTGCTTTTACCATTGTACAGCGCTGTAAGGGCCTAACAGGGGTGGTTCTGTAATCCCTCTTGAACCACAGTGAATTAGAGTGTCAGAATCTGCTGGCAGAAGAAGACTCATTGCCTCCTACACCGTGCTGTTTGTTCCAGGTTGTCCATAATCCTTCAAACACTCGTTTATCCCAGCCGCTGTCCGTCAGTCCTGGCTGATGCTTTAGGCAGCTGTCGCACGTATTGCCCAGTCAAGCAGCACGGTGTCAGGTCATTACCACTTGACGGCTCTGTCCTCTCCGAAGGGCTCTGGGGATCAAGGCCGGCCACTGACACATCAGCCGCTGAAAGTCCTGGCCTGAGGCTCGGGAACAGGCTTCTGTTCAAGTTCTTTAGTCAAGTCGTTTCGTTTCACGTGACATTCGTGTCACTTACCCAGGGATAACGAGTGCTCTCCGCACTTGGCTGTAATCTGTTCTAATCCTGTCCTGGGCACCTTTCCACAAGCCAGAGATCTTTGCCTGTGTCACCTGTTTAAACAGCCGCACACTCCCCTCTGTCCCTCAGAGACACGCCCCTGTCCTCAGCCCTGCAGGACGGCTGGCGCAGACGAGAACGCCTGAACTGCTATTGGGATTGTCTTATTGTGTGGCCGTTGCTGGCTCTGCCAAATACCGTGAAACGATGATAAAATAATGAATTTGTTTGGGGTCAGAGGTAGAGAGGAGCTTTTAGAAATTCCTCATGGTAGGCTGCTCCACAGAACCTTTTCTGCATCTCCCAGCAGCTCATTTTTTCCCTGAGGACAGATACTGCTGATTATTTCCAATACCCTCTGTTTGGAGGTTTTTCTAATTGCTAATAACTTCAGACTCACTGATGTTCATTAGAGTGTTTCAGCCCATCGGGTCCAGAAACATTCCTCTGATACCATCTCCAAAGAGCCGGACCACATCCCAGGGGAACAGACTAGCCCACAGTAACGGGGCAATGCCAACAGTGCAGCTGCTGCTGGCGGCGTGTGTTTCAGAGAGACACTGAGGCCTTGGGATCAAATGGGCTCTGTCCTGTCCGACCACGTTCAGGTCCCAGGTGGGACTGGTATTTTAGGTCTGTGTTCGATCTTATTGTCCTGCCAGTGGACTCCCACATGCTGCCTGGCTAGACGCTATAGACTGCAGCATTGCAACCCTCAACCCCCAGGAGAAGCAGGTAAGCTAGAGTCTCAGTGCGCAGTTCAGAGTGGTCAGGGTCCCTCGCCAGCAGGGTGCACATGTGTCTGACTCATCGGCAGCTTCAGACATGCATGTAACCAGGTAGAACAAAAAAGCTAACAGGTGACCCTGTGGCCCTCAGGGGTCGCAGTTCTGCACCCCTGAAATAAGAACACAAGCTCAGACCTTACCTGGAATTTCTTCTGCCACAGGTAGTCCAGAGTGATCTCCTCCACGCGGTCCATTTTGCAGAGCTTGTGTCGAAACACCTTCTTCAGCATGGCGATGAGGTACAGGTGATGGGCCTCGCCCATGGCGTAGTGGTGGTTAAAATCCAGGAACACCACCTCCTTCGAGTGAGCCGCCAGGAACGTGTCGATTTCCACCAGGCCGTCCCACACCCTGTGCCCGAACAGGCCGTGGATGAAGTAAATCTCGTTCCCCGGCTCTCCTGGCTTGGTGGACACCCGCAGGTCGAAGTAGCGGATGCCAGCTTCCAGCTGCTCTTTGAAGGTTAAGTTCTGAGTCATGGACCATTTCTTCATGACCTTCTTGGCGAGCGAGCGGAACAGGCCGGCAAGGTGCTTGACCGCCGCCTTCTGGTCCGGCCCCACAGGAGCCTTCTCATCCACCCAGAAGCTGAAGGAGTCGTGCGATCCTGCAACAGTGAGATGGCCGTGTTAGGGAAATGAACAC